TCCTGCAAAAATCAAGTATGAGCTGGAGAGGGCCCTGAGAGGCTATCCGTTTCAACGCAGGCCTACTGTCAAGAAGCTTATGTGTGGAAGAGAGAGAGTTATGATTATGTATTTACCGTTTCAGCTAGGCATTAGTTTTTTTCTAAGCTCTCTCTTCACAAATCGCTGATTTATGTGAGATACTTGACTTAAATTTTTCCCAACATTTTTGTTATTTTCCTACAACAGCAATATTGCGGAAGCAGAAGGAAAAGCCTACATTCCAAGTTCATAAACCTCCTGGAAGCAGATGCTACGGCTGCTCTCTGTGTGCCCCAAGTGCCCCTCCATCATGCCTCTTGGGTGCGGAACCCCCCATTATGGCAAACAACAAACCCTTTGTTTTTCCATTTCACCTCCTCTCTCTGCAGTACCTCCCCCATCTATGTGTTAGAAACCACATGCATCCCACGGGTTCAGGGCAAAATAAATAACCGCTCCCCAACCAACACCGTCCCCCTCCATCACCACCACCCTCAGTCCCCAACTCAACTACTGTCTCCTTAAAAATCTTACTTTTTTTCCCCCCTTGGCAAAAGGCAGACTAACTAAATGAAGCTTGTGAAGCACCATGGAGATCAACAGATCCAGAGTGGGAGAAACTAATTCTGGAGAGAAGATCCCCTCTGGGAGGCTCCCTGGCCAACCAGACCTGGGTGACACGGAGGAGACGACTAACGGCGCCTTGGCCGATTTGAGCTGTCAGATGGTATGGGGAGCAGAGAAGCCTTTTCCAGTTAGCCCCGCGGCTGTGGGACAGCAAAATTAATCCTCCAGGAATCGATTTTTGGACCCACCGCGCCTAAAGCCATTTTTCCTGCTGCACCAAGTAGGCTGGCGAACAAAGGGTGCCGTGAACCACCCCACCAGGGCCTCATTATGTGAGGCCTCGTTTATGACGAGCTCAAGGACAGCACTAATCTGATTAGCCAGTGACCTGCACTTGGTGGAATTTTGTTCCCATGGTGTAATTTTGGGGCAAACTTTGCTCTTTTGACAAATGAGAGACCAGCATCGTGAGAAACTACATTTCTCTCTTAACTTCCTTGACTGTACTGAGCTCAGTAATGACCAGAAATGGAGAGCACTTCAGTGGGGATTACAAGACCTCGGCTGTCTTCATGTTCCTTGTCATGAACAAAACCAACTTAGTGTCCTGCTCACACTGTGAACATGTGACTGGTTAAAATGAGGTGTACAGGTGTTGCTTACAAAACTGGCCGGAGAAAATGCAATGAGGTCATTTCACAAGCCACAGGTGAGCTCCGCCTAATAAAATCCTTCCTCGAAACCACAAGCATGGATAGACGACGCCTTTTCTTCTCGTCTCCACTTCATTTCTCTGCTCCAGAAGGAAGACCATGAACTCACAGAAGCAGTAAATTGAGGATAAAATAGGAGCGTGTGCAAGGTGAATACCAACTTCCTGAACAACTGAACTCTGCTCACCTAAAATCAATAATCAGACAGCTGTGTTGTTTAAGAAGCTTAATGAAAACCAGTTTTACACCCAACATTTTAACTAATACAAATAAAATATACTCTTGCTTAGTGATAAGACTGGCTACTTTTACGATAGGACTGTGTGTTCAGTAACTGTGAAATTAAATATTGAAAGACAACGTACTGAACAAGCAAAACAGACTCCTGCAAAAAATCTCTACTCTATATGTGAATTTACAGAAAAAGAAAACCCAATTAAAGAAAAAGATCCATAAACCTAAGAAGTTAACGAACACAACAATTTGCAGAGCAGAGGAGCAGAGGAGCAGAGGAGCAGAGGAGCAGAGTTTCTACCTACTGACCCAAAGCCTAACTCTGGCAAGAACAAATTTCATCTTAAATCACAGTTTGCCATGTCAGTGAACACGTAAGGCCGCTGACTTAGATCAAGAACTGATGCGTACTTTTGCTCACAGTGAGTAAAGGTTAACACATTTAAATCTATTCCATTAATTTGCCATTATCTCTGAAAGTTCAAGCCACTATAGTTCTCACAGTATAAACAAAATATCATTCTCGCTGGAGACCATAGTGTCAGTGAGCTACAAATGCTACACAGACGCATTTGCGAGAAAATTTGATCTCCATTATAAAATGGCTGGACGAATGAAACAGTAAAATGAAACCTGTCAAAAGTAATTTTATCTTTTTTGCTACCCAAGGTCTGGTCTTCTACAGGCCTTGCGTGGGTGATTCAGCCTTTAACACATGAGTTGTCCCATTGAAGTCAGTGAAATCTCCCACTTAAGGACAATTGAAAGAGAACACTGATCGGGGAAACAGTCCACTCGTTCAAAGGCACTATACAGCCATCATAAAACTGCTCTTTATTGGTAAAAGCCTTACTCTGGGAGGTAAGTTTGGTGAATTTTTTGCCAAACTTGGAAAATGTTTACTATGACATGCAAGTCCCTGAATTCAAGAGTAACTTTGCAATTGATGCAGCATTTGGCGCCTAGATCAGTACAGCACAAAGCAGTCAGTATAATCTTTCTTTTAATTTACTCAGTGGGGCATTAGACCGTGTGCTAGAACATTAAAATAGCCATTTTGTGCAACTAAATCCTAATGGGAAGTCTCCAGAATGGAAATACCAAACACTCTAATTGCATCAAATAGACGGCAAGACTTCCAGCATCCCAGCTCACTTGTAAACCTACCACTTTACAACATGCCAGCAATATGAACTGCTGGCAGGAAAAGTGTACTTCATAGAGATGCTGACTGAACAAGGAGCAACATACTCTGCTCGATCCACAGACAACCTGTGTGAGAAAACCCTTAACTACCTCCTTCCGTATGCAAGTAAATCTGTACTTGGAGAATTCATCCTGTGACTCAACTTCCAAAGGCTTTCTCTTATCCCCCATGACAATGGTTGCCACCCTTAGTGTACTGAGTGAAAATGTATGCTCTGCTACCCTTTTTCTATTTGCAATCTTTTAATTTTATTGAATGTCCCTTGTAAACAGGCTGCCAGATAAGGAGAACAGAAGCTCTCCATGAACAACAAACTTCTTAGCATACAAAAATAAAACCCAACTACAAAACAGAGTTTGTTCCAAATGCTGACAACAGTCTTGCTATAAGCTGAAAAATTATTCTGTTGCCTAGTGACATGGCTTTGAAGCAGGAATTAATATTTCTAATACTAATACCTTAACAAATTTGCATTTTGTGAACACACAAAGGTTATCACAGGCCACTGTCCCAAAATAACTTTCTATGTGCGTGTCATTATTCCATAATAAATGTGAGGTCATTCAAGGTAGCTTATCACTCAGCCCTAGTCATGATAATGCTCAGGAATTTGTTATTCCAAAATAATGTGTTCATGCATCCATACCCTATGGTAAAATCTTCCGAATGTGCAAAACTGACCAACTACTCTACAAAAGCAATTTCAGAGATTTTCACAGATTTGTTCCTCTCATATTCAGCACAACTTGGTGCTTCTCCAGCTTACATAGAGAAATCAAAGCAAAAGGAGTTATAATACAGCAACTCCTGCAGATCTTTTGGAGGCTAAAATGAAAAAAAAGTATTTTTTCACAATTAGCATGCCATGTCGGCAGCATGACTCACAATCCAGAATTCAATGCAATGGTTTTGACTGACTGGATCTGAACAGGTCCCAGCACACCCCCTTGATTACCTGTAGAGAGCTGGGTGGGAAAAGGGTTCATTTCTTTGTCCACCATTTTCTGGTATAAAGCTCTCAAGCTGAATGGCTCCACGGTAAAAGGTAATGTTCCAGTCAACATTGCATACATGTTCACCCCACTAAAAGAAAACACAGAGAAAAAGAAACCAAAATCATCAGGAAGAAGGAAAAACATAGGCTTAGGTTTTACTGACTGTACTTCATCTTTAATGTCTGACAACTATTAAAAAAGACCAAAAAAACAAGCTCTCTCTTCTGTTGCACACAATGATTTGGGCAAAGATTCTCAGAGGTTTGTTCATGGAGGGTCACACAATGTGTAGGACATAAGCTGGGAGCCACAGAACTGAGCCCAGCTCTTAGGCAACTCCTCGGCTAAATGCCACGCCACAATTAAGTCTCTCCTCAGGCTGCATAAACATGCTGCTTTCAAAGGCCCTGTCCTGGTGCTGCCCTGGGTGTGGAATGACTGCCCGCGCCAGCGGGGACATCACAGGTCTTGGTTCAGTGCCCAAAGGTTTCCACTGACCTCCACAGCCTCTGGTGCAGCCCAAAGATCAAGTGTGAACAATTACATTTTTCAGAGCAGAAAACTGACTGCTTATTTATGCCCAGCAAAGTCAGCAATGAAAAGTGGGTTGGGCGCTCTTGATCTTTTTCCTCTTAAAAGGGCTTTAAATTCAATTTGAGTGGAATTCCTCCCTTTTGGGACTTTGTTTCCCCAGCCTGTTCACATATGTGAACAGAAAGAAACTAAGCCGGTATGCTATCATGAACCGTGATCACAGACACCATGTGTTCAGCTATGAGGAAGCGTAGGAGTTAACCATATTTTCTTTTTTTTAATTAAAAAAAAGAGCAGGACATTATTACAGGAGAAGTTTAAATAGTTTATGAGAATGACAGTGCTCCGTTTGCCTGAGTTCCTCAGGGCTGGTACTCTACCCTTGATGTGGACGGATGGCCCACTGCTGGAGTGAGAAATTCAGTAGTCATGCAATGATTAAGCTGTAGGTCTCCTTGGAGGACAGACTGCAAATTAAGCTTCAGCAGAGGAAGTTCTAAAGAGCCTTGAGGTGCAACAGGGGACCCACCAGGTCCATCCGAGAGATGAATTTGAGCCAGGTCTTAGTCTCATATATAAAGTATGGCCAATCTTTCTTAGCAGTAGTAGTACTTATACAGTACATTACATTTTCCAAGCATTCCAAATACTTCAACTTGGGAATTACCACAATTCTGTTATTTCATTGAAATTTATACAAATGTTATTATCCCCACTGGGTGAGGGAAAATCTATTGATACTAAAGCAAAAGCTAAAACTTAACTGATTTCAGCTAATTCCTCTCCACGATTGACAAGGATAACTAACACCATGTCCATGGCCACCAGGAGGGTAGTGGGAGTTGCATAGTCTACAACAGTACTGAAGACAAATTCACTGACTCAAAAACATCTTTGTAGCTTCCTCTACCTCTGGCACCGGGGACTTCTGTCTGTTCTTTTGCCTGAATGCTAGTAAGCTCACAAAGGTTCACGAGGTTTCTGGCCATTTTTGTTTCCCCTTTAACGACCGTGCTTTCAAAGTGATGACCTGACTCGGTATCACATTTCCTTTTGTGCCAGAGCCATGTCTTCTACTATGTCTGAACACCACTGATCAACAGCTGTGCTTTACTGTAATCTCTCTATGCTATATGGTCTAGCAATCTATATACAGGTACGTAAAAGATGTATTTCAGACTAAAATATCTGCGCAGTTTAGTTCAGAGAGTCAAGCTAATTAAACAGGTTTTCTTGCTCAGAGTAGCCAAATACATCACTAATGTTTCTCATTTGAGCAATGGGTAATGATGACAGTAATAACAATTATAAACTAGAGAAGTAACTCACATGGACCAAACGTCTATTTTGGGCCCGTATTTTTTCCTTGCCAGAAGTTCAGGGGCTGCATATGCTGGGCTCCCACACTGGGTGCTGAATGGATCAGAATAACCCAAGATGCCTGCACAGTTGCTCAATCCAAAGTCTGTGAAAGGCACAGAGACAGAGTTATGAAAGAGACAGATACAGTAAAACCATGCTAGAACACAAGGAAAAAAACCCACATTTTTTTCCAAAAGCTAAGCAATGAACTGCCTAAGAAAAAATCATCCACATGCAAAAATTTTATATAATTGGTTCTCTGGGGTGCTAAATAACAAGAGATTTCCACAAACAATAAAAAAAGTCTTAGAACATGGACAATTATCAACTTCATACACAAAGCAACTACATTTCACTGGGAACTGGATGGCAACAACTGGAGTTGAGCTTGTCCCAGGCACTATGTGATGTGCATGGGGCAGAAAGCCACCTCGGGCTGTCGTGGATTCCATACCGCTGCAGTATGTTACACAGAGACCAAGTTTAAGTGGGACTTCAACATTTTCCTCTAAATCGTGTAAATGAGACATCAGATAAAAGGCAGGAGGGATTGCTTTCTGGGACTACTGTGGTGATGCACAAACGCACAGGGTTGCAGAGTCAGCATTTCAGCTCTGAAATAACACAGGCAGATCTTGGAGCAAGAAGGGGAATGTGTTGATTTGGCTCCCCCCTCCCCAACTTCTGCCTTGAAGTATTCTGTTTCTGGCTCCTGGGTGTACCTGACATTCTTTTGCTGGCAATAATAACAAGGGACTGGCAAAGGCTGGCACCATGAGCTGACTGGAGACAAGGGGCAGCCTCTCCGCACCAAAGGAGGCTGTAGTTTCCCAAGTGCTCTCAGCCAACTCAAGCCTAGGCTGGCACCGAGAAGGGTGGTCCCACAATCTCCCTTGTCTGCTCAAGTGCTGGTATGGCTGCAGGGTGAGCTGGGTTTAAGGATCTTAAAAATTAAACCACTAAGCAAGGAAAGAAAGGCAGAGTCGCACCAGTGGCAGAAGTGGCTGGGGGCAACGTGCAAGCCCACCCTGTCTAGTGGTAGCCCATGCTTGGCTTGGGAGAAAGCAATTACAAAACCACAGCCTGAGAGACAACATGGGAAGGTGAGGACAGGTTGCAGAGAGTCTTGAAAGTGAACTCAAACAACTTGACGTGATAAGGGGAAGAAGCAAGACAAGCTTGCAAGGAGGGGGATGACATGGGCAAAACTGACAGGCTGGGAGAACGGCCTTTGCTGCAGGGCAACATATCCAGGAGCAATGGATCTAGCGAGGTCACAATCAAAGATGTTCGCATTTATTAATAACTTGTTACTGATGACAGCTGCAACAAAAATACCACTATTAAGAACATCTGGTTTGTTCCTTTCTTTTTCTGATCCAGTCTTCTTAAAAACTCCCAGAATGTATGTGTGTTTAAAATGAAAACTGTCTTATACATAAACGAGGCAGTCAGGAGAAGCAGACCTCTGAATCCTCTTCCTATAGGCTTGCGTCTTGCATCCGTGCATCTCGTAAAACAGCATATTTCTGGGTGTGCTACCCACCTGCCTGCATGGGCTAAAAGCATCACATCTTGCAGGCCAAATATAGCAGGCAACTGTTCAGCCCATGCAACACTCTCTCTCCACAGAGTCATTAATTTGGGTCTCTCTCCCTCATCTGCCTACTTATTTGCATAAGACTTGAAGTAGCAGCCTGTCCTTTCGCTTTTACCCCACGTTAAATTTGGCTGAAATCAGACAATACCTCAAGGTACTGGAAGCGCCCTGACAGGGCGGTCACATAAGCCTTGTTCCGTTACAAAACCAGGCGAAAAAATAATAATGCTTACAAAAAAATGCAATTATAAAGATGACTATGTGAGCCGGAGTGCCCAAGTGACTGCACAGTGCTTTCCACTTGACTGCCTGCATCTCTGAGAGCGAGACAAGCACAAGAGAGACAAGAATCACCATATATAACATCCAAAGAGGCTCAAAGGGGTTTTGCTGGAGAACATTGCCAAAACTGAAGGGAGGATCAAGACAATTTCCTTGCCTCTGATGGAAAACGATTGTCTCTGGACACTGCTTAATCGTCTCTGCTATATATGTGTTATTCCTGGGGCTTATACAAGTACTTCCAAGGATCCATTCACTTAATTAACGTATTTATTAGCTATGGCCTGAGATGAGTTATGTCAACTGTAAAATACTTTTTAAAACTCCTAGAAATAATACCTCCACACAGCATTATTCATGGTCTTTACCCTACTGTGTCATACTGCCTCAAAATTACTTGACTGCAATATAATGCTTTACAGTCAAAGTATATAAAGGCTGTATTCTGCGATGGTGTAAATCAGCATCCTTTTATCATTATCAATGGAGGTATGCTCTAGTGGACATTTTAATTATCTTATTTGCTTAAACTATAAACAACTTATTCACTTTTTTCAGCTCATTCGTTTAACCTAGGCTGGTATACTCTTTTTTCTAGCGCCTGTTGAATAGCAGGATGCGTGCAAACACACACATATTGGGGACAGGGATTTTATCACAAAAGAAATGGGAATATTGTTATTAACACTGTGGCAGCACATTGCGATCGCAGTGTGATTTTTATTAAGGATGCACTGCTGATCTGGATAAGAACAGTATCACCACCAGCACTGATAATTTCACTGCCATTCCCGTCTCTGTCTTGGGCTTCCTTTCAATAAGCTGAGCTAATTACAGAATTCCGATCAAAGGCCACACTTGGTTTTCCAAAGTAAATATTATGACATGGCAACTCCACCACCCCCACTGTTCGTACTATCGAAGTATCGCATTACACTACTCCTCTTTAACGCCTCCGGGAACTCAACATTAAGCTATGGATATATGGATATCTCTGAAGCTGTAACAGTTGGAATAGGG